CCCCCTCAAAGCCTTTATTTTAAGGTCATGGTCATTTAGCCCAGTACCACAAGGTGTGTAAATGGACCCACCAATAAGCAGCCCATGTCAGAGAGAGTTTTAAGCCTGTTTGCTGGAGCAGAGGGAAAGGGAAAACACACCTTTTGGCTTGGACTGTGGTCTGTCTACCCTAGAAACAGAGCATCTGTTGAACAAGCTAGTCAGAGTTCCACAATGCCAAGTCCTGGAAGAGTTTGAAGTTCGGTAAACTAGCTGTCCTCCCTTTCCTCCTACATAAATATTATGTGCTGCATCTCCCCCAATTCTGATGTCCTTGTCCCTGCCCCCACCGTATCTGTTGTCCCTGAGAATGCAAGAAACTTTCCCCCTCCCATCCTCTCTGTCCCTAAACATTTGTTTAGTTTGACTGCTTAAGCAAGCCACACCTCATTTCATTTGTCTTCCCACCCTCAGTTAATCAACAGTACTTCTTAGTAATAATCTTAATAGACCATCCTTATAGACTTGAAACCATTAAAGTTATTTTCTCCACAGAGGGATATACTGTATTTGGAATATTCATCCTTCAAGGAAAAAAATCCTGCTGTGCAAACTGAGCTTTTGTTGTATAGGAAAGCTAATGAATCTATAAAAACATTATTTCCACTTTTTAAAAAAGATGTGTTACTTTTTGGCACTGGTCTGGAAACTGACTTAAACGTCATTAAATAATATTAATAATATTGCTGCAGGTCATGTAGGCAGTCTCATATGTTCTGGAGAGAAGAAGGCAGGTGTCTTCGCCAAGGTACCAAGAGTAACTCATGCAAAAGGACTGCTAGCATAAAGTGCAGGCTAAGCCATTTCGGGGCTCCCCACCTTTGGACCTAACAAGCACCAAAAATAGCACCTGTGGCTGTGTAAAATGGGTTTTTGGTGCTTCAGATATATGTTCTAAAAGGAAAGAAAAAAGGAGGCATTGCAAGGATGTCTCCACACCCGTGGAATTTACTTGATGTGTTTCTGCATACTGGCCAAGTTTTCAGTCAAATGACTGGTGTATGGAAGCCAGCCAGATCTGTGACCTGCTCAGAAGCCCACGCATGCCTTCTGCTGACTAGACTACGAATGTAGCAGAAGAAACTGTTGCTTGGCCAACCCAGAAAAAGTTGTATCAAAGCAAAAGTCTTAGCACTCACTATACACCCATCAATATGATCCAATTAGCAGTAACAACTGCTGCTTCAGAATGTACAGTTTGGCTTAAAACAGAACGATGGACTTAAGTTTTGTTTTATCCCATCTAAAACTCACATGCTTTTTAAAAAGTCATTAACAGTACACTTTTTACTTATTAAGTAAACTTATTGAGATGGGATCCTCTTTAACTCAGCAAATAAAATTATATTTATTTATATATATTATATTATTATATTCCTTTCCTTGGTGTATATCAAGATATCCAGATTATAATGTTGCAATAGGTAGGGGTCGGCAAACTTTTCAGATGGAAGAGCTGCCAGGGGTCAGCAAATGGCGGCTCATGAGCCGCAGGCTCTGAAGTAAAATTGAAAATGAAAATAAAACTATCATAATTTCACTGATAAAATTTTTCAAGGATATTCACATAATGGTGATTATGTAAAAATATATTTGTGGCTCTCGAATAATTTTTAAATTGTTGTTAGGGACAGGATTGGCTCTTCCAGGGGCCGGCAAACTTTTGAGATGGAACTTACCCAAAGAGCCCCATGTGGCTCATGAGCTGCAGTTTGCCGACCCCTGCAATAGAGCAAAGAGTTTGGAAGGGAACTGTGTGACCCCGACTAGATGGGCATAATTAGCCAGGATTGAGGGTTTGAGCCAAATTTCTCTAAAGAAAGGCTAGGCTTAAATGTGTCATCTTGTCTGCTACTTGCTAGTCACATGTGGTGCTGTGACATCTCAGCTCCCTCTGTGCTTACTCCACTTGAAATGTCATATGTAGTAACAGGTCCTGGATTCCTGGAATCCTAGATTTGGGGCATCCAATCTAAAGAGCCAATAGTGCTTCCACCTGTGATCTCTAGCCTGAGGAAACCCCCATCTTGGCTCTGGGAAGACAGACAATAATGGGTCTGCTCTCTGTGCAACCAGCAGCAGTACAAAGGACCCTGTGTCATGCATGGTGGGAACACCCCTCTGACCCCAGTGGCTTTTGTGTGATGTCATTTTTCATCCAGCATTTATATTTGCTAAAGGAATGTATTTTGAATTATTCTTTGTCACTATTTTACTTTCACAGGATTTTTCTTTAGTTCTCTTTAGGCCTTTTTTTTTAAATTGGGAATTGGGGGAGGGGAACAGTGTTGAGGAATTGGGGAGAGGGAACCAGCCAAGTTGTTTTTCAATCGTAGTTGTGGAGGGTGCCAGTCACAACCTGGCTGCCCTTCGGCAGCTTGTGGCCTCTAAGCTTAAAGTGCTGTGTTAGAATCTTAGTTGCAGATGGGTGTAGCCACCATCCCATGCGGGAGTCGAACCGGCAGCCTTGTTAAGAGCGCATGCTCTATCCACTGAGCCATCGGGGGAGCAGCTCAGCTCAAGGTGCCGAGTTCAGTCTTAGTTGCGGGCGGGCATAGTCCACTATCGAACAGGCAGTCTTGTTAGGAGCACATGCTCTCACCAGCTGAGCCATCCTGCCACCTGTTGGCAGCTCAGTGGCAGCTCAGCTTGGGCGCAGCTCACNACCGATCTGCCTCACCCGGGAAGAGCACAATGATAATACCAACATGGGCCAGTGAAGCGACGTCCTCCACAACTAGACTGAAGAAAAAAGGACAGCAACTTGTCTATTCCCCTTCCCCCGATTCCCCAGTGCTGTTCCCCTCTCCCAATTCCCCAATAAAATCTTAAAAAAAAAAAAAAATTCTGGTCACTTGCTGGAAAATTGAAATTGGTACAGGTTATGGGAAATGTTTAATTGCTTAAAAGTTCAATTAAAGTTAAAGCTCAAGGGAACACATGAACACTTTTGAACACTAACCCTTGTCTTTTTTTATTGTCAGGTGCTGTTACCTCCATATGATGATGCCACTGTGAATGGTGCTGCCAAGGAGCCGCCACCACCTTATGTGTCTGCCTAAGCCAAAAAGTGGGGCGGAGCTGAGAGCATGAGCTTGACTTGCCAGACATCAGAGCAATATTTCTTTAATTTCTCCTCTGAGATGAGCTCTCTGCGTTTATTTGTTGCTGAAATGCTACAGTTTAAAATTTTAGATATTAAATTGAAATCCTCTGTAGTGTTAATCATATATTTTAGCTAGAGCACTGTGATAGATTAACTGTAGAGTTCTTTCTGTAGGGGTGGGTGCAGCGGGCTTCCCTAGTCTTCCCTGTACTTCCCTGGGCGCCGAAATTGCCCCCAAACCTGATGAACCTGAGTCAGACTGGCTTTTACCTACTAGGTCCCAAACTTGGGGAATTAGTCACATCTTTTTTCTCTCTGTTTCCTCTGTCTCTTTTAAGTGTAAAATAAAATTTAAAATTAGACAATACTTTTCTTAAGCCATCTCAGTGTGTAGAAGAAACCTTTATGAGAACAGGAATGTTAATTGTGGAAATCACTGCTCTAATTAGGTAAATAGGAGTACATATATATGTATAAATAAAACAGGAATTTCCTTAAGATCCTTTATGACTTAAATTCAGTGACAGTTTGAATTTGCTGGTCAAAGCTAAATTGAGACCCTTTGACAATCCCCGGCAGTGAGAGAGCAGTCAGTATGCACGGCTGTTCCTGTACACCCACGTGAGAGGTCATGGACTGGCGTGTCTCATCCATGTTAGAGGGGTGGAACTGATTTGTTTGGCACTGCATGGTATCTGGTACTCCCTTTCTCCTGGTTTCCCATCTCCGCCCAGGGGCCTCTTTCACTAAGCATTGCGCCCTTGCCTGAGTCAAGGAGGACATCCATCTCTCTGTCAGGTGACATTGGTGATATGTGTTTACCTAATAATATAAAAAAGGTTTTCTTCTTCTGCCCCTGCACACCCTACTGCTTTGAACTTCCAAGTATGCTAGTCATCTTTTAAAATGAGTCTAAAACAAGTCTTCAGAAAACTGCAGAGTGCTGCTTTCCTTGTGGAATGCCCTTATCTTGACTACCTAAATTTCAAGGTACTTTTATATATTCATATGTTCAAGAGTCACAGCTCTGCTGTTTGTTCATTACTGAATGTGCTGTAAATGAAGGCTTTTACAGTTAAAGTGAGATTTGCCCACACCCAAGAAAATAATCTTTTGACTCTGTGGTGATTGACTGTGCCAAGGGACCCTTCCCGCCCACACATGGCCATGCAGACACACAGTTCCGCCGCAGAGGGAGCTTTTATGGTTTGTCTCACACATAGTTTTTTAATATTTCAGTGCTGATGAAATCAGAGCATCTTAGGCTAAGAGAAATGGATATGAACAGACCTGAGCTTCCAGCATTCCTAATCCTCGCCTCTACCAAGCTCTGCTCAGCTGTTGGGCATATCATTGCTTTGTGTCCATAGTGCACTTTAAACAAGCAGTTCAGATTTTACTATATTTGAAGGGAGATTAAATTCAGAGAGGTGAGAGGAGGTATTTTTATACCTGTGAAGCAGCCTCAATTATTTTTTAGGGTATACCTCATTACTATATAAACTCAACCTAAGAAATTCTATTCTTTGAATATTTATGCCTGTAAGATTTTATACTAAATTAATCATAAGGGTTATTGGGGATGGAAAAAAGCCTATCAGATAGTTTCACTGATTCCTGTGGAAAGCACATAGGAAATCACAGTTATTTGCATGTTGCTGCCCATAATTTTCTAGCTCTGCCTAATAATTTTTGTAGTATGAAAAATGGCACATGGCCAGATGGAGAGAAGTGCTGATTTTGAGTCTGTAGAGTTGTCACAGAGGATCTTGATCATGTGACACTCAAATAGCACCATAGACATCAGGATATCACTTCCTACTCAGATATCCCAGGTTCCCAGGTGCTGGTGCTNGTGAAGCAGTGTCCTCCACAACTAGACTGAAGAACAAAAGGACAGCAACTTGTCTGTTTCCCTTCCCCAATTCCCCAACGCTGTGCCCCTCCCCCAATTCCCCAATAAAATCTTTAAAAAAAAAGAGTACAAGATAGCACATAATTGATAAATTACATAAGTGCTTCAATACAGTGATTCTGTGTCTGAGTTCAGAGGGTTGTATTATAATTACTGCCATGTCTAGTGTTATTCTTATGACTTTATATTACATATAAAGAATATGAAAATGTCATTGTATGTTTGTATTTCAAGAACTTATTATAATGCAGTTACATAGTATAATTAGAGGAGAAGAAAGTAATCGAGGCTGGAATATTTCAGATTTCTATATCAGAAGTGAATTTAACTTGAGCCTTGGGTTATTTGGGCTTTGTATACAGTAACATATGAAAGAAAAATATTCCAGGAGAGAAAACTCACAAGAAAAAGGAGTCAGCTTAGTAATGAGCAAGCTGTGCTAGGGAGTCATAGAAATAAATTAGGTAGGATAAAGTCAGATATCGGGCTGCTGTTGACATGGCATGAAGAATGTGGTGTTACGTAAGGGAATTGTTCGTTTTCCCATCGCACACATTTTATATCCTTGGGGGCACCTCTTGGCATCTTAGTTTTCATTGGTGTCTGGGGTACTCCAGATTATGTTTTAATGTGTAAGTTGGGTGTTCCCAGGACTGGAGGAAAGTCTCAAGCAGGTGAGAGGGGCCAGCTGGTCCTGACCAACTTTTCCATGAAAACGTTTTTCACCTCCAAGGTAATAGCTTCAAACAGCACAGTGCTCCCTGGTTGCTTTGTTTAGTGTCTGTACTGCGCATGTCCAGTTGCTGCCACTCTTCCTTGCTTTGAGAGCTGCATCTTTGACAAGTTGGGCTTGTTTCCCAGGCCCCTGCAGAAGCGCTTATCAAATCCACAACTTTCCTGCCAGCTGAGAAGGCAAAAGGAATGAGGTGGCCCCCACCCTCAGGTTGAAAGTTATTCTGTGTCGACTGACTTCCTTTTTCCCTCAAGACCACCATGATGATTTCTTTATTTTTTAAATGTTACTTTTATTTTTAATACAGTGTTCTATGAAGACAGTTAAAAAGCAAGATATTGAAAGATTTCCTTAATTGTCCTCTGCCATTTTTTGCCCACCCTCCACTTTTCACCCCAGTGGTAAGCACTGCCAGTTCTTTTACTTGTCTCTTCTAGTATTTACCTCCATGCTTTAAAAAAACATGTCTACATTGCTAAATTTTTTTTATCAATTTGAGATCTTTTGATGTGTTGTTGAATAGGGTTTAACTCTTAATCTCCTCCCTGTATTCTTTGCTGCTTTCATCCTATTAATATAGCCATCAAAGTTTTTTGTTCCATTACCAATTAGTATTTACTCTGACTAAGCAAATGTTCAGTGCAGAGCTCTGTGGTATACATTCTCTTTCTTGTATAATTTTTGTTTTTCCCCAGCAAACATTTGCCTTGTTTTTTCAGTTGCCATTTATTTTTTTTACCTTTTACCTAGCCCCGAGCTTTTCTGTGTGGCTATCAGATCTGTCAATCACCTATTAATATTATTTTCCAAATATTTAAGTCTGTAAGATAATATGTTAGTTTTCTTTCTTTCCTGGGGCTTCTCTTGCTCCAGGGTAGATGAGGTACCACACAGTTGTCATCCTGGGCCTTGATTTCATTTTAACTTACCTCACTTTTATTAGGATATGGAGGCTAGCAAACAAGATTTCTGATGCAATTTACCTTGTGTCTTATATTCCCACCGCACCCTGTCCTGGACCCCAGAATCTCCAGGGATGGTTCTTTGAGAATCTGATGAAAGCTCTGAACACTCCCCAGGAAAATTAATGCACAAACATAAAATTTGGCATGTAATTTTGTGGATGTCTGAAGACAATTATGTAACTTTTTTATAATACTTTCGGGAATATAATCCTAGCAACTGTAGAATTCCAAATAAGCCTTTAGTGGATTAACTCTAATATTACAGTAGAAGTCCAGCTCTAACCATAGTACCTATACACTTCCTATTTTTACCAATAAATAGTTCTTTCCTCTTGAGTGTTTTATCATTCTTAATATTTGATGGAATGAATTAGTTTCACAAATTTTAAAGAGTCATGGATTTATGGCCAGTTGGAATCACTTCTGTTACAGGATGTTACATTTTGCTACCTTCAATGTTAATTTATTTCCTTCTCCAACTGTTCTACATATTGATGTAGCTAAGAAGAATGACATTTCTCCTGGTCACACTCTGAATATTTGTTGAGTTGAATTGAAATGGATGAGCTGCTTTCCCACCAGCACACCGTCATCACCTACATGACAACTACCAACTGAAGAGACACTGTAGATAGATGCTGATTTTCCTAATGAACAGATAGATGCTTTCTGGGGTTGTTGGCAAGAGGGATTTTTCCATCTGTGTGGAAGAGAGTAACACCATCATACAGTCTCTCTGTAATTGAACACCTATGAAGACAAACTTCCAGAGACTGTACTTAGATTATTGGGTCGTCGGGAAAGTCATGACATATTTTTCTGTTTTTCAGTGCAAAAAGGCGTCATGACTTTCCCAACGACCCAATAGAATTTGGTTGTATTGACTATTGTTGAAATATGTATGGTCTGTGGTTGAGATTTGTGATGTGTCTGTGTTGACTTACTCACTGATTAGCTGCTGTTTACCAAGCAGTGACTTTAGATTGAAGTAGGACATGACCTATATTCTTAGTCCTTGGAGATTATTTTTTGGTAATTCATTATGAATGATTAAAGTTTTAAAAATGGAAGACTGGGCTTAACTAAATGCCAACACCTAAAAAGTGTCAAAATAATTGAGTTTTCACCACTTTTGTTGTACGGGGTCTGAATTGGCATATTCTAACTTAATTGACCCTACAGTTGTTTTCTCAGATTCCCAGCACTTCACTGATTGTAGTAGGAAAGGACAATCACAAGTGGTTTTAGTCAGTATTACTCAGTTACACTATAATAGAAACAGTGTGGCAATCCTTACTTCATCCAACCCTTCCTTGAAATCATCAATAATATTAACTTCATTTAGATAAAAGAGAAAGAAAAAAAAAGATGATGCTGTCCCTTCAGAATTTAAAACCAGTTTCATTTGGAGAGCTTTTCGTTGAAAGTAGTCCAGGAACAGGAGGAATGAGCCGTGTGAAGGATATTTTGCAGTCAGCATTTAGTGTGTGGTAATGGGGAAGTTAGGACAAGTGAGAGTGTCAGAAACCTTATGAAAGGAAAAACTCTTCATCAGGCATCTTGACTTTGGAGATAGGGTCCAAGGCAGTAGAATATTTGAGTTGGAAAGCCATTATGATAAAATACTCATGTGAAATTAAACTTTAAAAGAAGTTTGAGGGCTGGCCGAGTGGCTCATTGGTTAAGAGTTGGCTTGGGAGCACGAGCTCTGAGCAGCAGGGCCACTGGTTCGGATCCTACATGGGCCAGTGATGCTGCGCCCTCTACAGCTAAGATGGTGAACAAAAGCTCGACTTGGAGCTGGGCTGCCATAAGCCAGCGTGAGCTGCCATGAGCCGCTGTGAGCGGCTGTTCAATGGCCGGCGACCAATCTGCTGCAGCCGGG